CCAGATTTATTTATTTAACTGCCTACTCAACATAGCCACCTGGGTGTCTAAGCATATCTGAAACTTAACTGTCTAAAACCCAAACTATTGTTTTCCTTTCAAACTTGTTCACTTAATTGCTGCATGTTAGTTCAAAGCAACTTTATTCTAGTCAGTGGTACAAAAAATTTATGCCATTCTTTCACAATCCATACTCAAAACATCAGCAAATGTTGATACTTCCTTCAGATTTTCTTAAAGATTTAAGTCAGATTATGTCAGGCTCAAAATCCTCCATTGTGTTTTCATCTCACTCAGGGTTAAAGCCCAGGTCCTTGGTCCTTATGGTGAAAGATGAGGCATGTGTGATCTTTCTGATGCTGCACACCTCCATTTCAACTTCTAGTACTCTTTCCTTCTGCTGGTTAGTAGCTTGCTAGTGAGCTTCTTGGACTTCCTGGAATACATCCAGCATATGCAGACTCAGGGTCTTAAACATTTTTTAAACAGCTAAACCTGAAATTGCACTAGTTCTTCAGGTAAGCAGGTGCCCTAGGAGTGTGGACAGGTTATCAAAAGTAATAGGAAGGCAGAATAAAAGTACTTAGATGTTTATGGTAAAATCAGAGTTGGAGAATGAGAAACTAACCTCTTGATTGCTTCTACTTTAGTAAAATATGAAAACTGGACTATTAGTTGAGAGTGAGATGGATAGAATGTGGTGTAAGTTTAAAATGAAAGAAGTTACGAGATAGTTAGCTAGGATATTGGGAGAGTGAAGGGCTTCAGGCTAAGTAGCAATAAAACCTTTTAGATTAATAGGCACAGATTTCAAAATAGGAACAGTCATTATGGTTCATCTGTCCTGTTTTTCCTTCCTTCAACCCTCCCTCCTTTTTTTCTTTTCACTGTCAGCAGCATGGGAAGTGGTTGGTAAATGTAAAACTAGGGTTGAAATTTGGCAAAGCAAGAGAAGGCAAGGACAGTGAGGCTATTTGCAGGAAGTGATTGCAATGATGCCTCATGGAGTCCAAGCTGTATAAAGATGGAAACGAAGACAGGGGTGAGACATAGTAATAATGTGTCAGGATCAGTGGACTGAGGTCTGTTTGGGGTCAAAACAATTTTGGCCTTGGGGTATTGGAGTGAGTTGACAGATGGGGCCAGCCATCTGAGAATGAGACTCTTGGAATTTATTGGTAGTAGGGAGTCTTGTAGTTGTTGCTAATGAGTGGGGAAATGACCATAAGAGTGAATTGCTGAGGTAGAGTAGAGGAGAAAGTTATGGGAAGGGAAGCAAAAGAATGTGCAGTATTGGAAGGATCATCTGGAAATAATTTGAAGTCACTAAGAGCTTAATTTGGAACTTAATTGAATTTTTAATTAAAAATTAATATTCAGGTGAGTTTCTTAAATATATAAGGTTGCATCTGTCTTTAAAATAAAACCATGAGGAAACGTGCAAATAATTAAATTGATTTTTTAAAACTTAAAATTTTACTCAATTTACTTTGAAGATAGATGTTGTTGACCCCAAGTTATAAAATGGTTTCTTAGCTCCTTGAGATTAAAACACAAACAAGTTTCTACAGTCCCATATGAGTCAAAGAATGGGAAAAGTAATTTGTGTTAGATCTTAAAAATGTTTTGGCAGTACTTTGGTATTCAGAAGTGCTGGAGAAACTTCAGCAGAAAAGTAGAGCCATAGATTAAGACCAAACTAGGACAGCCAAGTCACTATTCTGCTTTTTAGTGAAGAAAGTCTTTTTTTAAGCAGCTGTGACCCTTGGTGCTTTACCAAAAATACTTTATTGGGACTTCATTTGGATGCAAGGCTGTTGTCAAAGTAATTAGAAAAACAAGGATTGAATATTAAATAGTGACTTCTTAAAAAGTTACATTTTATGATACATAAAATAGCTATTTCTTATGCCAGCTTTAAAATGTTTTTCTTGTGTTCCCAAATGAATAAGGTAAAATAATTTTAAACATTTTGCAAATTAAAAAAAATTAAGGAAACTATAAGAGCTTTCTTAAATTTAAATATGTGATGATAAAATGGGGGATATACAAAGTCTATCCAGAAGGTATCCAGCCATGTAATAGAAAAATAGAGCTATTTATTAAAGAAGATACAAGATACAAGAAACATTGTACACAGGGCAATGATGCCTCAGTTCCCTTCAAAGTAGGTAAACCTCACACCGTTTTCTAAATGACCATCAGCTGCTCTGTCATATTTTTCTGAATCTCCTCAATGGTCTGAAATCTCTTCCCTTTTAAAGGTGATTCTAGTTTTGGGAAAAGCCGGAAGTCACAGGGTACCAAATGTGGGCTGTAGGGGGCTGAATCACCTGGGCAATTTGATGTTTCACCGAAAATCTCTGCACAAGATGTGATGCATGAGCAGGTGCATTGTCATGATGAAACTGCCAGTCACCAGTTAGTTGCCCATAGCTCTGGCCTTCTGAACCATCTGAATAGTTTTTGCAGAGGAATGTTCAAGCTTAATGCAAAATTTGATGCAGATTCATTGCTGTACTGAGTCAGTCATTGTGAATGTGATGGCCACACAGCACACATGCTCGCTCAATGGTGTCTACCTTCCCCACTGATTAGTACAGTGAAGTCTTTATTGTTCATCCATGCTCATTCCAGTCCACTCTCCTTGGCTGCCAGGCTACATCGATGTGGTGCATGCTGTTCTCATTATGTTAACAGTGGCTGAACTTTTTCTGGATAGATTTCATATTTCACAGAAGCTGTGTTAAGAATGAATGTGAAAAAGGAAGGAAGGGGATGATTAAGGCAAGGAAATGGAAGAAGTTGGACTCAGATAGTAATCTTAGAATAAATCCATAGAAATAAGAGCAGTGTGAAAGGCAGAGAGAGAATAGGGAAGTGAGGATGAGTTTCCTATTTTGATGACTTAATGTAATTTATTTATGTTTTTTAAGTATATTTTATTGATTACACTATTACAGTTGCCCTATTTTTTCTCTCCTTTATTCCCCTCCACACTACACCCCCACTCCCTCTAGCATTCCCCACCCCTGTTAACTCATATTTATGGGTCACACATATAAGTTCTTTGGCATCTCCATTTCCTATACTATTCTTAATCTCCCCCTGTCTATTTTGCACCTACAATTTATGCCTCTTACTCCCTGTACCTTTTCCTCCCATTCTCCCCCTCCCCTTCCCTGCTGATAACCATCCATGTGATCTCCATTTCTGTGATTCTGTTCCTGTTCTAGTTGCTTGGTTAGCTTGTTTTGTTGTTCTTGTTGTTAGGTTCAGTTGTTGATAGTTGTGATTTTGTTATTTACTGTTCATATTTTTGATCTTCTATTTCTTAGATAAGTTCCTTTAACATTTTGTGTAATCAGGGGTTGGTGATGATGAACTCCTTTAACTTGACCTTATCTGGGAAGCAATTTATCTGCCCTTCCATTCCAAATGAAAGCTTGGCTGGATAGAGTAATCTTGGATGTAGGTCCTTGCCTTTCCTGACTTTGAATACTTCTTTCCAGCCCCTTCTTGCCTGCAAGGTTTCTTTTGAGAAATCAGCTGATGTTCTGATGGGAACTCCTTTGTAGGTAACTGTCTCCCTTTCTCTTGTTGCTTTTAAAATTCTCTTCTTATCTTTGATGTCGGGTAATGTAATTGTGTTGTGCCTTGGTGTGTGCTTCCTTGGGTCCAACCTAGTTGAGCTTTTATATATTTGTTATGGTGACCAACTCTAAAAATACTTTTTGGAGAGTTAATATATAAAGTTCAAGGGTCTGTTCGATGGATTTATACCATGGATGTTTTTTTTTAAACCTCATCCTAGGTTATGTTTCCATTGGTGTGGGGGTGGGAGAGAGACAAGACAGACAGATAGGCAGACAGACATTGATGTGAGAGGGAAGCATCGATTGGTTGCCTCCCATACACACCTGACTGGGGATCAAACCTGAAATGCCAGTATGTGCCCTGATGTGGAATCAAACCTGCAACCTTTTGGTGTATGGGGTGATGCTCCAATTAACTGAGCCATCCAGCCAGGGCCATGGATGATTTTGAGTATTGAAATAATAGGAATGATATTTAAGTTTTTAAAACAGCCCAATACAGGTGTTTTATATGAAATTCTTCAGATGATTTAATTTTTTCTTTGGGAGTCTTCAAAGAGCTTGAAGTAGACCTCTAGGGGATTATGTGAATTTGGAGCAATGTATTCTTAATTTAATTTGGAAAGTGATTAATTTAAACTTAAGGGTTAGGAAATGATGGTTTCTCAGGCAACAGGCAAAGGGGAATATATTTTCTTTTTGAGAATTGGAAGAGCCTTGTCGGACAGTATGTCCATATTTGTGCACTGCATTTCAGAACACTTAATGACATCACCATAATCCTATACAGGTGAGTGATAGGATTCCCATTTTAAGATGAAAAAGTTCAAACAGCCTTGGTAACTTGCCCAAGGTCAGACATTGGGTAAATGCAGAGCCCAGAATATGAATCCAGTTACATTTGATTCTGTTCAGCCAAACAAATCTTCATTGAGTGCTTGCTGCGGTGCCAGACATACATGGTGCTTATGCCTTGGCAGCTCATAGTTGAATAATGTATGGTTCCTGCCCTCAATGTAGTATGGCAAGTGAATAAGATCATAATTTTTAGGGAGCACTGGGGACCTGGACAAAGACCATTTCTTCCTGTCTATGAGTTTAAGGTCATTTTTTGGAGGACCAATGATCTGAACTGAATCTCAAAGGTAGGTTAAGAGTTAATTGAAAAAAGGTGACTAGGGGGGTATTGCAGCCAGGGAGAACTACAGGTGTAAAGTAGCCTAATTTATGCCGATGAACATATTTCTGTCTAGATATTAAAGGATGCCGTGGGTGGGAACGAGCAGAAGAGCCTAGGTTTTTTCTTTCATACCTCATTGCCTCTCTGGACAAATACCAGAAATTGGTTAATGCATTTGTGGATGTAATTAGACTTTTCAGTGTACTTTTATTTTCCTTTTCTAGGATCAGTTCGACAGCTTAGACAAGCATACACAGTGGGGAATTGACTTCTTGGAACGATATGCCAAATTTGTTAAAGAGAGGATAGAAATCGAACAGAACTATGCAAAACAATTGAGGTAAGTTAATTTTTTTCCCCAATTCTCAGAAGTGAAATTACATGTTTAAATAGTTGGATGTTAGGTAAATGTGATATACTAGAGGTTAAATTCTGTTTCATTAAATCACAAGTAGCGTTCATTCCAGAAAGATACTAAAAATCCTAAAATCAGAAAGCAAAATGCCAGGAAAAAGAAATACCTGGGTATAAATTCTATACTTTACGTTTTATTCCTTTGTAGCTTTTTGCTTTAGTAATCTTTCTAAAGCACTAAAGATTTCTCAGTTTCTCATTTCTTCTGTGACTTAGAAATTGAGTGTGCTGAACTGATAAAATCATATGTTATTGATGAAAGTGATTTTGCAATATGTGTTAGAAAAGTTTGAAAAGGAAAATTTTAGTCTTAAAAACAAATGGAATTAGTCTTAAGATTTTGTTTAAGCAGAAAATCATTGTTAGACCACAAATTGACAAGTAGTTTAGCTGGAACTTCTTCAATAAAAATGGTACTTAACATTTGAAGCCTGGACACCAATCAGTCTAAGGTTCTAGGGATAGAGGTTATGATTTTTTATATTGCAAATGACACTAAATCCGCCCTAAACAGACCCAGATGACTAAAAACTCCAGGCATATTTTGATTCTGGGGACAAATGTGTGCAAGCTCCATTTCTGGATTCTGCTTCTTCTTGTTGCCTTTTTCCTCAGGCTCCTTCCATTCAGTAGCATCCTTTCTGACCTCTTAGCTCTAGATTTTATATTTTTATACTCTCACATCCTGGGGAAGAATGATGGTTTTATCTATTGTGCATTTAGGGGAGGGACAGGACAGGGAACAGGGAAGGAAAAAAGTGAAAGAAGGGAGGGGAGGGGAAAAAAAGAAAGCAGAGTGCAAGCTTGTATCAGCTTTTCTCCAGAAATCCCAGAAAAGGTCTCTTTGTTGTGATGACCCTGTTTAGGTTACGTGCTTATCCTGAACAGTTCACCAATGTGAGAATAATTAGAGTGCCTTAGAGCTAATGATTGGGAAGGAATAATTATCCAAATGAAATTTAAGGTAGTGGATTGCAGAAGGAAGGGCTGGGCTAGTTGAATGGTAAACCACCTGTGCCCACTACAATAGTAGGGGTTTGAACAATCAGCTGACTGAGTACAGGGATGAAATTAGATAAGTATGATGAATAGATTATTTATAATATTTTTATAATGATGCACATACTATTATTATGACATTTACTGAAAGAATGGCATCATGCTAATTTCCTTATCCATTTATCATCTTTTTTTAAGCTGTTATTTTCCATTGGAGAATATAAACGAGAACTTATTAGTGTATTAGTAATAATAGTGATGATATTTCACTTGTCCAGAAATTACAATTGGCGAACTTTACCCCTTAAGAAATCTAGAAGCACTAAGGACCTCTGAGAACTTAAAACATCAATCAAAATTATATTCATATGTGAACAACAAAAAATTTTCCTCATTTATTTTTAAATTTGGTCTCAATTCTAGCACACTAAATTCTTTGAATTACAAGTTTTCCAATAGAAATGAGCAGAAATGCTATAGGAAATACAATGATGGCAGTGTGAAATGGCAAACAATAAAGGAAAAGACTAAAATACTACAAAAAAACATTTTAAGAAGTTTCTAGCCTAAAAGTATCTTGTCACTAAGGGAATGATGAAAAATACTGTGGAATATGCAGTTTAGATAAATCAGGTATAGCACTGTATTTAAATTTAAAAGACCATTTACTCCATTCGTGTAAAAAGCAAGTGGTAGAACTAAATGTATAGCAAATCTCTTTGCTTACTCTAGTTTGTATATGCAACTATGTATAAAATGTATTCTGAAGAGGTCCAGAAAGATACACCCAAAGTGTTTTACAGCAATTACCCCTGGGGAATGGGAGTGGGGGTGGCAAGGGAAGGAACTTTTTTACGTACACTTTTGAATTATTGAAGTCTTTTCAACAATTACATATTCTTTTTGTAGTTTAAAACATTTTTAAGCAAAGAATGTGGTATACTTCAAAAGAGAATCTTGTAACAAATTATAAAATAGAAATTGGTAATTCTTAAGGTGAACTTCAGCAGCCTAGAATATTTAATTGTTTAGAATAACTCGGGCTTCAAGAGTTTCAGAATGACCAAGGTTTTACTAAAGTAAGAACACTGTAATCAAATGGCAGGCGTGTTTGCCTTTGTGACTGATAATAATCTTTATAATTTTCACTTACTTGCAAAAAGAGATTTGAACACTGCTTCATTGAAGCAAAAGTGGCAAGAACCCATAATTATATGATATGAAGAATATAATTTTGCAGTGAGAAAGTAGAGTTCATTATGTACAGATGCTCTAGAACAGTGATTTGCATCTTTTTTCTGTCCCAGCATCCTAATAATGGCTCTCACTTGCAGTTATTCTTAACCAGGGCAGGGTTATTGGAAGATGTTAAGGAATGCTAATAAGGACTAATTGGGAAGAGGCATGTCGAATATAACTTGAAACCACCTATTCTTTCCCCTCACTCTATATGGAGATCTGCTACTTCAGATGAACACTTAGTAAATGATTAGATTATCAGCTGCTCTTTATAATATCTGTTTTGTCCAAAGGGAAGAGGTTATTCTTGTTTACTTCCTCTTCTCTGATAGGAAAAATTCTTTTGGTTAACTCCCTCTTGTTTATGCTGCTGCAGAGGACAGTTTCTTTCATAGTAGGCAGCTTTTTCCCCTCTTAATAATTGTATTCACAATGTTAAACACTTATATTTTAAACATACAGGGTATGGCAAAAGTAGGTTTACATTTGTGAGTAAGCAAAACACAGCATTTATTCTTTTTTTTTTTTTTTAATCCTCACTTAAGGACATTCTTACTGATTTCAGAGAGAGGGGAAGGGAGGGAGAGAAACATTCATTGGTTGCCTCTAGTATGTGCTCTAATGGGGATTGAACCCAAAACCCTCCAGTTTACAGGACAGTGCTTCAACCAACTGAGCCTACCGGCCAGGGCAAGTCATTCTTACAATAACTTATAATTTTGTCTTTGTATGGCAGAGATTTAACTACAATTTCTAAGTGGAAAAAAAGAGAAGCTCTATATACATGATAGATGTCAATTTTTTTCCTAGTAAAAATAATTATAGTATTAAATTCTATCATAGAGATTGTTACGTGAAATATATTCCCCCACTTCCCCCCAAGATCATTTCTATTTGGTTCAAACGTCGCACTGTGGTATACTGGAAGAGAAATAGCCTGGATGATAGGAAGCCTATAGGCTACTCTTAATCACAGCCAAAATCTCTCCAAATACTTTGGATCTTAAGTTCAATTCTGTACCCTTGCCAGGCCTGGCAACATAGCTCATACCTCTAGAGCTGAGTGAATATAAATTGAATGAGTAAATAATTGAACGATTTGTGTTTTGGTTTAGTTTAGAAATTAGTGCAGACAACTATAATTGAACAACAATAAAGTAATTTAAAAAAAGAAATTAGGATCTCTGCCCATATGCTGTGTTTTTTATCAAGTACTGCGTTCTATGTGTACTAGCATTTGTGTCATACACAGTTGATCCTTTATTGCGCCAGTTTACTTATATGAAGATTTTTTTCTATTGACCCCTGCAGTTCAAACTTCCATTGTTCAAGGGTTAATGGTACATCATTGTGATGAAGTTGCTGCTTTACTAAAAGCTGACCCAGATATTTAGGGTAGGCTTAGATATAGAATAATCCAAATAATAGGAGTCTCTATATTAAAGACTTTTCTTTCTCATGCTTTTTATCAGAATTTTCTATTTCTGTGTTACTCTGTTTAGTCTCAGGAGAACCCAGGGAGCTCATCTTTGTACTGACTTTCTGAAAATGGAGATTACTTTTATTCTTTGGTTGGCCATTGTTTAACTCTCAACTGCTATGGCCTCCACTGAGTTTTTGATCAACTGCTAAATGTAGTAAGCCTTAATAGTGGCATCTGGGTACAGGCAGAAGGAACTATTCCCCATATTTTGGGGTTTAGATTAAATTTCTTCACAGAGTTGGATTCCATGGAAACTTTTGTTCCTACCAGTCCCTATTACATTGTTACTGAGCCCACCTGGGTATATATATCTGTTGTATAAGGTGACCAAATCATATGCTTTGTTAGCTAAATAATTTTTGTCTCTTAATTCTGGAGTATAATTCCCCTACTAAAATGTAAACCCCACAGAGAGGTAGTTCTTTGTTCTGGGCACTGCTTATTCCTAGCTTCTACAGCAATGCTTGGCACAAAGCAAGCACTTTTTTGGGGTGGAGGGTATTTACTTAACATTTATGTAGCATTTAATATATCAGTACTATGTGAGTTCTTTTACACATATTAATACTTTTCGTTTCTATAAAACCCAATAAGATATCACTATTTTTGCAAAAAATTAATTTTTATTTTTTACTTAATTTTTTAAAATTTTTATTTTTCAATTACATTTGACATTCATTATTTTATATTAGTTTCAGGTGTACAGCATAGTGGCTAGACAGTTACATACATTATAAACGGACCCTTCTGATAATTCAAGTACCCACCTGGCACCAAATTACTAACCTACATTTGGGACAACTGAGTTTTTGGGTGTCCTTTTCATTTTATACATGCTGCTGTCTCATTTAATCCTCCCAAGAGTTTGATGATCTTTGTTGTCATTGTATTTCTTGGACCTGTAGAGTACAGTACTTGCCTAGTGGTAAATGCCCAACAGTAAACTTTGTGGAATGATTCAGTCAGTGAACTCTATCTACCATTTTACTAGTAAAGACATTCAAGCTTATCACCTTAACAAGAATTGTGAAGCCTGTTCCTGATTTTTGTATTAAAATGTTTTAAGTTAAATGATGAAGCAGAACCTAATAAGTAAAATATAAAGTCGTAAGAAAGAAAATGATTTTTCTTTTTTATTTATTGTTCTTCAGTTACAGTTGTCCCGCCTTTTTTCCACTGCTCTCCCCTACCTCCCTCCCATGACT